GCAATGAACCTGTGGGCTCGAGACCTGTTGCAACAATGGAATACTCAGATTAACATCCCTCCAACCTCAGAAACAAATCATAAACAAACACATGTTTCTGAGAGAAATATTAAAAGATATTATTCTAATGAGTGGTCACCAGCCACCCAGATTGTACAAGAACAGGGCACAAAAACCGATGATCTCCCAAAGACACCAAAAGCTCTACCTTTAAAATGTTCAACAGACAAGCCTGTATGGGTTCAGCTATGGCCTTTCACAACAGAGAAATTCCAGACTCTAGGAGAGCTGGTAGAAGAACAGTTAAATGATCTGCATATTGAAGAATCAACCAGCCCTTGGAATTCTCCTGTATTTTTTATTTTCTAATTGGATTTTACTTTCTAGTCAAAATTAAGATGATAGTAAATGAATAGGTGATAGGTAGTGAATAATGTCTAATAGGTACAATACATGTCTACCATCAGATTAAAGCAGATTAATCTACATAAGCACATGTTGATGTACACTAATAGAATCTTTATGTGCAGTGATTAATTTCCCTGCAAAGTAGTAATGACAGTTTCCCACTGTGTTAGAGTGTTTTTCCTTAACACTAACTTAAAAATTTGGCTGACTTAGCATATTCAAGTTGCATTGTCTCGATTATTTGTGCATTTGTATATTAATAACTTGAAACAATTGATGTATTAGAAGAATATGAAAACTCAGATTTTAAGATTTTTATTCTATTTTACTGGGTATGTATTTCAATTTACAGTTTTTAGTAAATAAAGATATAAATATCTGCTCATTGGCTGTTTGAAACAATTTTTACAAGGTATTATTTATTTTAATATTTATATTATGTCTCACTGAAGGTTTAAAATAACACAAACTTTTAGTTGTACAAGGTATATTTATTAGTTTGCAAAACTATTTTTCAGAAATTGCACAGCTTTCACACTTCACTCTAAAGCTATTTTCTTTAAGTTTTGCATTGTCATAGTTATCAGTAATATTTATACATGTTCATTTATCATCATGACATCGGTATCTAGGGGCTAGAGGATGATAATGCATCATATATAAATATGTGCAGTGATTAAACTATGGAAATTAACATGTCTTAATTTTCAATTTTAATCATATTAATTATCCATTTTGTAACAAGCCATGTTTTATTAGAACCAGGCATCATACTGGGTATCATAGTGGTGCATGCCAATAATCTGAGCATTTGTGAGGCACAGGCAGGTGAACCAATGTTTTCAAGGAAAACATGGTCTACATAGAAATTCTGGAACATGCAAATACATATATTGAGTACTCTTTGAGAAATATCTTTTTAGATGCTCTTACTTTATTTGAACGATTAAAACAACATAGTTTGTAAATACCTTTTAGTGAAAAATTCATATGTAATAATATTTGGGAAAGATATATACCCCTCTTGAGTTGTCCATAGTGTTTTTGAACCTTGATTCCAAGGAGAACAAAATGCCAAGCTCTAAGCCTGTGTTCTCACAATGAGATGGAGAACCATCATCCCATTTAGTTTTGCAATGTTTTGTACTTAGTGCATATAAATATAATGGAGTTCTTATTAACATCATCCGGGATCTGTATATGTAAAAAAAAAAAAAACTTTTAAACTAATATATTTTGTATTTAAATTGCTCACAATTTTGAACTTCATATTCCATTGGTTGTTAGAAAATAAAAGGTTTCTGAGAGAGCATGATCATATTTTGAGGATATTTTGAAAGTATTGTTTCATGTTGATGGGTTATTTAAGGCTGCTGTGTGCATAGTGGACAAAGAATAATTTCTGTAAATATGTCTTCTATCTAGAGGTTTACAAGTCCACGGGGTGTGTAAAATATAGAGGTAAAACTGACTTACAATATCATTTATCTTCAGAATTTCTCTATTTACTTTTTTCATATTACCTGTCTGTTGCTGAAAGTGGAGTATTAAAATGACCCACCATCTCTGTGCTGGGATTGATGTGTGCTTTAAATCTAAGACTCTTTCATTAGTAAAGCTGGGGACTCCTGTATTTGATGTGTACAAGATTAGCATTGAAATACCCTGTTGTTGTATTTTTCATTTAATGAGTACAAAGTATACTTCACTGTCTCTTCTAAATAGGTTTTGTTGCAGCCTAGCCATCGCTTCTCTCACATCTAGTATCCACTTATAAGTGAGTACACACCACGTTTGGCTTTTGAGTCTGAGTTACCTCACTGCCTTTATGTAATACATTTTTTTTCCTTTTCAGCTTATACTAGTTGTATTAGAACATTGTTCTGTATGTTCAGTGTTTTGATTATTAAGTGGCTTTGGGACATTTTTTCCTGGCCCAATCTCTCTGGTGTTCTGTTAGCTTCTTGTACCTGTATAGACATGTCCTTCTTTAGGTTAGGAAATTTTTCTTCTATGAATTTATTGAATTTATTTTCTGACCATTTAATCTGGTATTCTCCTTCTATTCTTAGTATTCGTAGATTGGTCTTTTCATAGATTCCCATATTTCCTGGAAGTTTTGTATTAAGGAATTTCTAGAATTAACATTTCCTTTGACCAATGAATCTATATCTTCTATTGTATCTTTAACACTTGAAATTCTCTCTTACATCTCTTGAATTCTGTTGGTGATGCTTGCATTTGTACTTCCTGTCCACTTACCCAATTTTTGAATTCCATAATTCCCTCCAACAGTTTTTTCTTTATTGCTTGTCTTTCCATTTTCAGGTCTTAAAAAGTTTCCTTCGTTCCCTTCTAGACCAGAGGTGAGTATCTGGGCCCAACCCGGACCCCATCCCTGGGTACCAGCAACTCTGGGAAGAACTGCCCAACTTGGCCCAAGGTTCTGGCCACCAGGCAGGTCCGCTTCTAGCCCCACCAGGAGGGATCCCCTTTTCGAAGCCCCCTGGCATCCCCTGCAATCTCCACGCCATGCCCCCACACCCATCTGTCCGAGACCCCAGCCACTTCCTGAGACTTAGAGACCAGCCCCCAGCTCCCATCCTGCCCCCGACTTCCCTTCTGGACCAGAGACTTCCGGTCCAGATAAGAGCTTCCATCCTGCCCCGGAGTTCCCATTTGGACTAGAGAACTCCCATCTGGACAAGAGAGAGAGAGACTTCCTGAATCTGTCAGCTCTTTCTGAACCAAGTACACTGATAAGACCAAGAAGGAACCACAAGGAGATGGGCAGACATCAAGGCGGAAGTACATACAACAAAATGAAGAGCAATACAGCATCACCAGAACCTAGCCCCCCTCCAACATCTAGATCTGAACATCAAAAATTGGAAGAAGCAGAAGAAAGTAGCCTTATGTGTAACATCATGAAGAAGGTAGAGGCTTGTGTAGAGGAAAAGACAAAAAAATAGGAAGAATGCTGTAAACAACTAGAGGAAAGGGCAAACAAATTAGAAGAAAACAATAAGGACCTCAACATAAATCCAGCTACTCTGAACCTGCTAGAAGAGAAAGTAGGAAGAAGTCTTGAATGCATTGGCATAGGAGATCACTTCCTAAATATAACACCA